TCAGACCTTTAAAACATTGGAAGCTCTATGGTGATGACTATACTTGGAAAGAACATCAAGCCCAGAGGGACCTTGCAAAGCAGGAGCTTTGGGCTCACTCTCTCCATACCTCAATCCTGACTAGAACTGACCCTGTACAAAGGAAAACCACTGTAACACAGTGCCTGAACTCCAACTCTTAGAAATTGTTCAGAATACCATGATCAGTGGCACTGAAAGTTGCTGAGTTATCAAATAGGACCACGGGTGGTCCTATGCAGTTGCAGGGCTCAGCCCAGAATATGACTCAGTGCCCAGTCTGACTTTGCTCCCACTACCCACACTCCATAAAGACAGCAGATCAAGTGTTCTCTGCCAGCACTCCAAGTGTGCTAGTCTGGTCCAATGAACTGCTCCCCAGATTGATCCACAGAAGCCTCATCTGTTCCAAACACAACAGTCTCTACTTTCCAAAGGAGCTTACCAAGGTTTGTTGCCATACCTGCTACCCAAGTCACAGGCACCTTGGTCTCAGCAATCAACAGCTCCAGAATAGTGGCTTTGGGTAATTTCTCACTTGTAGCCACTGTTATCACTGATGCTGCTTGGAGCTCTATTCACATATACTCAGACACATTATAAACCACCTTTCCATTTGACTCTCTCACACCTACCATAACCAACAAAGAGTACTTACTCCTCTACCTCATTAAAAGTAGCCTACTTTCCATTGTCCTATATTAAAAAAAAATCATAAAAACAGCATAGCCCCACGAGATTAATATTATAATATGTCCTTCTTACATGTTTTTCTCCAACAGAATTGCTCTCACTCTCAGAACTGTTAACAGGCAGTTCTGTACAAGATGGCAATTGAGAATATGTTTTACAGGATAAACTATAAAAAGCAAAAGGAAGTATTGATGTTTTAATGCTGTTGCTGTCCTAGTCACCTTTCTCTCACCAGCTATTTCCCCTTTAGTACTGACAACCTACCACAGGAAGCTGATCAGTTAGTCTTGATGTTATCTTTGGTACCTGAACACTTAGTGAAACTATGGCTGGATCATATTATACTAAGTAAAGCTTAAGGCCATGATGAGTCAGAAGAAAAATAATTATCTCATGTTCATGTATTTCTTTTAGGTAGCTTATAGCAGGTCCAGCAGCAATTTTCATATACTTATCAACAGAAATTTCAGTCAATCTACTCCAATTCACAACATCACAGTGGCGAAACATTTAGAAGTTTCACCACTTTTAACTAAATATCTGACGCAGTAGTTCAGCCACTGCAACTGTTTTCATAAACTGTGGATGGGGAATTGCTGGATCAGAAATTTCAGTACAGAGACATACTGAAGTGTTTCCTATATTATTATTTCATGATCAATCACTTAGAATATGTCAATTGTGCATCTATTATTGCAAGCTAAATTTCTCATTAAGGAGGAATTCTATTTTGGGGCAGACAGGTGAATATTTTAAAGTTGTATATATAAATTCTACATATAGGACAAGATTCACTATTCAAGCACTAACTGCTTTAATATACCACTTTTGTTAAAATGAACTATTCCATTCAACAGGCTACGTTTCTATGGCACAAAACCTGCTGCCATAGAGCTAAATGACACATTATATATGTAGCAAGCAGTTACTCTTTATTGTTCTTTACACTACAATAACTGCATGCTGCTTGATCCATATTAAGGGCACTGTACACAAAAATAGGAAAGTTAATCATATTCACTGGATTATTTCTTGCATAAAAATTCATACACACTTGCACACACACCATGCAGGAACATCTTTTAAGCCCTGACATATGATACTGGGTGAGGTAACTTTTGAGAATTCCATTGCCAGATTGAAAAAGAAATACGCTATGAAAGAAATACAAAGGCACCTGCAGGAGACATACTTAATATATTGCGCTCTTTAGCTTGCAGTTTAGGAATGCTATGCATAATTGTAACTACTGTATTGGTTTCATAAAACCTGCTGATATCCACTACTAAGAATTTAATTCAAATAACTAGTGTCTTCATGCCAGTTGGAAATCACATAAATCAGGGATAAATATCAAAAGAGCAATGCTTTCCTCTAAGAACCAAAACATTAGACTATAATGCATGTTTTTAGCTTCTTCCTTCTTCCACAAAGTAAACATTATTGTACAAATATTAATAAGAAACAAAATCTGAATAACTGATACAGCACTATGACTGTCCCAATATATTTAAGTACAATAGGGTAGCTTAATATTTCATTATAGTACTTTGCCAAACCATGGAAGAAAAGCAATAGTCGTCATAACTTCTTTGAGTTTGAATTTCTCCTTTATATAATTTTAGTGTTTACTTTATAATTTAAATATAGACTGCATCACTCATAGATGCTAGTTAGGTTGTTTTATAAATGTATTTTAACTTTGTCTTAAATTTTATTTCATTTATTATCTATTACGATAAATTTATATATATTCATAGAGGATTCTGCTTATACTGGCCTACGACTGTAATAAATTGAATTGAATCTCTCCTATTGAGTTTAAAACAAAGATAAACAAGCCCACAACAAATTAAATGAATACACTGAAAATGAAACAGGACAATTGTAAAGTAGCTTCAATTACGTTTACAAGTAATGTACCTTCAAATTTTAACACTGCCAATTTAAATGTTTACTTCAAAAGTGGTACACTTAGCACACTAGTTTTTTTTAAAGAAAACTTTAACAAAATGTTCCTAAAAATATTTATTATTACAATCACAAAGATCAGCACAGTAGAGTTAATTACAAAAGTATATAAGGATTTCTCATAAATACAACCCACAATATCCAGGGTTTAGCTCTAGAATGCTAAAAAATGCAATCCACCACCTTACCAAAGCATGTTAGTTGCACTTTGCCAGCAACCAAAGCAGAATTGGGGCTAACAAATTAAGGGGAATTTTTCCATGTAAAAATTCAATCCAAATTGAATATATCAGGCAAAAGTGATTTTATTTTAGGGTTCTTTTGCTATTAGCTCACAACTTCTACTTGCCACTAGTTGCATTCCCTGACAATAACAGACCCAAACTGTGGAAAGTGACATGAAAACTTTAACATAAGCCTTCACTGGGTTTTGGTGAACTGCAAAGGATTGCATAGAGAAGCCAGCATACTTAATTATATGTGGTCACAACAAACTAAAAATCATGACAAGCATTCACTGGATGCCCCTCCACTTAAGATTTTTTACGATCAATAATTATATTTGTCTACAGGTGAAATTTAAATGTGAAGCTTGAAGAAAAAGGAATACATTTTTTAAAAAGGAAGGGGGTGCAAAACATTCTGAACTGTTCCAAAAATAATTTGAGCGCTTTTATAAGAATGGATCGCTTCCAGAGTACATGAAACAGCCTGAAATGTTAAATTGTTTGAACACTATGCAAACCTCTAGTCAAATGAAAAAAGCACATTTAAACTATATGTGCAATTCCTTACCTCCTAATTTTCTAGTATCTAAACTTTTTGCTTCTTTCAGAATTTCTTGGAATACGTAGGAATAGACTTTGACTTCACTTTGACTTGAAACTTAGTAGCTTTGAGTAAAGTGAATCACTTTGTTATTTAAATGATTTTAGGCCTTCCTTCATAAATACATACTACTGAACAGAATTAAACGTCACATTAAGAAGCAGAATTAAAAGCAGAAACAAAACAGCAATTTAATGTATTATATAATTCCTATATATCCATGCATAGAAAAAAAGGTTAATATATGATTTTTCTTCTGAATTTAGAGCAACATACAGATATTAAAGAAGCACTCATGTTTGGAGAATTATATTTAAGCACATTCACCTTTTACATTTAATTTTTTTATGCAAAACTCTACAACTAAGAGCAATAATTCATTTTATTCCTATAAGATATATTAGGTTGAAAGTAGCTTGCCCTAGGTACAGTTACCAAATACATTCTGTGCAGATTTTATCTACTATAATGTAACCACACTAAGCATTTCAATAGGCAAAACACAAAAATGTTAGGCAAAACTAGACCAAGGCAATTTTTGAGTTCTAAAAATACACATGGAATTCCAAATTCAAGGGGGAGTGATTACCTTCACTGCACACTGTTGAAAGAAAAAAGATAATTATCTGTGTTTTCCAATATGCCTCCCCAAAAGTTTGCACATGACGCTGTACCCTTTTCTACAAGTATTTCCTGCATCTATGTTGATGAACTGCCAGATGTTAAGTGACCTATGACTATCAACTGAAAACGTCTTCATTTGAATACTGTCAGAAAGTACATGAAGGACTAAACTGCAGCAAGCAAATTTTACCCTGCTTTTTAAAACAGATATAATACTTCATGGAAATGCAACACAATTTTCTTTTCTTTCTTTTCCAACACTCTGAAAATCACCCAATGTTACCGAAGACTTCTCTTTACTTTCTCCGTACCCTAACACATCATTGTTGTCTACTGACATCCACCCAAAATCCTTCCATGCCATGTAATGTTCCACTGTTCAACAAAAGGAATATTATACAGGGTTATAGAGGAAACTATTGCAGTTCTTAAGAATAATACTGTGTGTACAAATTTTAAAACAAGGTCTTATAATGAAAAATATCTAAAGGCCTCCAGAGATAATGCACTCCAAATAAGCAGAAATGTATTCTTTATAAATAAAGATACAAATTTATATAATGAAAAATATTTAAAGGCCTCCAGAGATAATACACTCCAAATAAGCAAAAATGTATCCTTTATAAATAAAGATACAAATTTATATGCAGAACTGTGACTGAAACAGTAATGTAGGGCATAGGAATATTTTGCAGACAGTGTGGACTATTTGCTGGAAACAGCAGACTTTTAGGCAATTAGTTTCCATAAAAATGGATATATTTATGACAATAGCAAATTCATTCCACATAATGATTTCAAGTTCATATTTTAAAACCCCTGGAAGACAGATCTAGATTGCTGCCATCTACCCCTTTAGTCCTTACCTTGCCTCCCTCTCTTTCAAAGTCAACGTATTCTCGGGTTGGTGTTTGCCGCTGCTCCCCCTGCCAGCTGGCCGGAAAAAACTGGAGAGACAGATTGGTTCCTGTGGCCACAAAAGCCTTTTAGAAAAATCAATACAAACAGGATCAGGGAGCAAGACATGACATAAATTATGCAGGCAGTCATTTATTTTTACATCAGTTTATGTCTTAAAGCTGAACTGCATAGCGAATATTGAAAGTCAAAAACATGCACTCATAATTTTTCTTAAGTAGTAAGTTACAAACATCTGATTTCATTTTGACAACATTTGCTACAGGTTGCTGCAGAAATAAGATACTTATTCAGAAACAATATTTTACTATAAATTGTTCTTGAAGATATTAAAATCTTAGTTCAAAGTACTATGAAAATCCTGCACTACTTTTTAGCAGCTAAATTGTTTCAAAAGATACATTTTCCTGCTCTTAGTAATTTTATAAAAAAAAACTCTTTCAGTTTTAGATACATTTACCTTTGCTTTACTACTTTTAATCATGTGGGAAACTATACAGCAAGCAGAAGGTTGAGGATTTTTCACTGAAACTTCAGTCAATTTTAATTTTTTCACATCACTCACACAAATGGAGGAACACAAGACTAATGTTATGTTGCACAAGCTGACTAGAGGAACTCCAACAGCAGGAAGGAAAATGAATGCAGATATTGAAAGTAACATTTTGATTCAAACATTATGGCTCTAAATATGTGGCCAGAAGTATTAATTAACCCTTTCCACTGAAGTCAAGAATTTAGTCTTTACAGACAACAGCTGTATTTCTTCAAAAACTGAAAGCTAGGATCAAACCAAATCATATGCCAAAGAAAACCAAGCAAACACAAATAGTCTCAGAACATATATAATGGTGCTTTAGTAAACAATTTAAGAATAAAACAGACTCTGCAAGGGAGAAAATGGTTGCACTGTGGATCTGCAGTTCACCAGAATCAACTCCTCTAACAGCAAAGTCAGGTGGTTGAGTATCTGTCTCAAATCAATACGATTCCAGAAAATAAGACAACAAACCAGTAGCCCTCTCTTGAGATATAATGCTTCCTTAAGAGATTCTTTAGGTATTAACTTCATAAATGAGAAGACAAAGAATAGAAATCCCATTCATATTTTTTTTCAAAATGTACAAAATACCGCATATACAGAAAACAGAAAGCTAGAGAGAAATTTCCATCATTTGCATTTACCATGAAGCCAGATCTCCTCCCCTTTGCATTCATCTTTGGCTGTTTTTTAAAAAATGTTTTATTTTTTATAGGAGAGGAGGATCAGATCTGCTACTCCAATCTGAGCTACACTTCTCATTTCTGCAACAATGGAAATATAAGGGCAGGGGTGAAAAGAATCAGAAATAATTCAGTTTGTGTTAAGGGCAGCAAAAGACAATAGCTGACGATAGTTAAGCCATGCAATACAGAAGGAGTATGTTTATGCTGAGGTATATGTAGAAATGGAAGGGGATTTAACTAATGTCCCTACATTAGGAAAAGGCAGGACTTTGGTGGCCAGAGGCTACGCATAACATGGGGAGGGGGCTTATGGGGGAAATTCAGGACAACAGTGGGTATAGCGATGAAGTAAATAGACCACAACATCATGAATGTGGAATATGGAAGGTTTTGTGAGGACCTTTTTAAAAAAAAAATTGTAGTAATTCTATTTGAGGGGACATACTGCAGTTTTCATACATCGCCTGCCAAATTAGAGTGGGAAATCACAGGGGCTCCAGGAGCTACAAAAAAGGGCCTGGGGAGGTGTATAACCTATTTCCTAGAGCTTATAAACTACACGTAATTCTTCCATGCTTCAAACTATATGGTAATTAAATGATAATGTTCAAGGCTGGTTAAATGTTCCAAACCTGAACTTTTGGCATTATGTAACATGATACACAAAGGTTTCGGGAGGATGAGAAGAAAAAGGGTCACAGACAGTACAAGGCTCTTGGTTTTGGCTGATAAAGCCTTGAATGGGAAATTCCTTTTTTTCCCCTGGAATTGGAATTTCCTACTTAGGACTAAAGTTATACTACATCCTTTTGTGATAGGTACATACTGACAGAATCAAAATACAGACTAGAGAATCCTACTGTGTTCAGAAAACTGCATTTGAAGGAATAAATATGAATTTCCTTATGCTCTGTGTTAAAATGGAGGAGGGGCAGGTGTGAAGCAAACTAAGTAATGCCTCAGAAATAATATATTCCAAAATCTCTACAGATTGTGAGATGAGATTCAAATGTTACTTACTTGCAGCCTACAAAGGTTGTCAGAGTATTTGTTGCTGTTAATTCTTTAGACACAAGGCTTAAACAAACTATCTTTATTACCAATTTTGCATTAAAAACACATAAATGAGCCACTAAATAAATATAAGTAACCACATATGGTCTTGAAATTTGTCCCTAAAATACATTAAAATATTAGCCAACCATTCAACCAAATGGCATTCTTCCAGATTATCTTATCAGAACAGTTGTCTTAGAGTTCTGTAATAACTCTTAAGAGATTTAAAATCTGTGAGTGCGAATCATAGGAAGGATAGCATTTGCAGAGGAATAAGTCAGTCATTTTTGTTAGTAACAAGAAATAGTAAAGTAGTTGCTGGGAACTTTTAAGTCTTTTTGTGCTAATTAGGTTTGAAAACTACCTGCATTCAATCTCAGTTCAATTAAAAGAACTCAAACAGTGTATCATAAAACATTCTTGACAGCAGCCAATGGACAATCTTCTTGGGTACTTTATATGATATAATGTGTGAGATTAAACGGATTTTATTCTGATATGACTAAATTTTTAGGATATCATAAAACTCTAGGTATATTATTACTTGCCTTAGCAATTAAACATAATCTATCATCCTTTTACTTTTTAAAATCTATACTTTATGCAAGATTTAATATAACTGACCAACAAAATACAGTTTGAGAGTAAGTATGAATGTTGCATACTTACTACTGCTTATTCTTGAACATTATGGGAAACTATGGATCAAAATGAGAAATATATGCACCTTGGGTCAACTCTTCCCAATGCATTGCACTACATATGTGGAAAACTACACATTCCATAATTCTTAGCCATACTATTGGTCATGTTGGCTCAGAATTATGAGATCCACAGTCCAATACATCTGGGGGTCGACAAGTTATAGAGGGCTCTCTGGGACTCATACTTTTCTCCTCCTTCCCCAGTTCAGCCATAGTTAAACCAGAATCTTCTACTTTTTAACAGCAGTAGTTTCACTCTATATGCAAAGTCTAAACTGTGATTAGATTAACTACAGTTTGTTAGGTTCAGATGAAACAGGCCGAGTTAATTAAAAAAAAGGAGGAGACCAGTCTGCAATGAGAAAAATAGTATTAAACTGAAGTCCCATGCTACTTACTGAACAACAACAGTTCAGCTAAAGTTAGATTAATTATGAGTCTCATGAAAGATAAAATCATATATCCTCAGCAGAACCAGAAGCCATAACTTCCATAGAATATATGCTGTCAGGGTGTCCAAGAGTTTCACTTACAAGTGTCTATGCCAGCCTTCACCATACTAAACATACGATTATCCTCTTTGCTGTTTTAATGGTACACCTGAAGACCACAATGGATACAAAAACTTATGAAAATCCAAGTAACTAAATATTGCACATCATGTTATTATGTAATGAAAGTAGATCTCATTTAAGAAGCAGAAACTAAGACCAAGCAATGAATTCCACATAGTTCTTTTAAAAAATCGATATTATGTCCAGTTACATGGCTGAACTACCTACTTTTTAAGCATCAAATAGTCCTGAACCCTGACAAATCCCCTTTCCTGCAACCAAGCTCACAGAAGTGTTCTTAGCCCTAAAACGTCATCTTAAAAAACAACTAGGTAGAGAAGTTATGGTAGCATTCTGCTCTCCCCCCTCCCCCATTTAGCTACATGTTTTATTAGTGTAAATGAAGATAGGTTACATACGGTTTGAACTTATCTCTTAAGAGCCCTTTTTCAGTCTTTCCTGCCTAGCAAATAGTTAATTCTGAGGGTTTTTCCTGCTAAGAAAGTTATCAGTGTTTTTGACAGCAAGTATGAACTTTTACTTAGTTTACACTTTTTTATTCTTCCACAATTTTTACTCTATTGTAATTGAACCTAGATAGGGAATCAACTTTTTTTACTGCTAAAAAGTGTCAAATAATTAACACATACTTTTTTAAACTGCAAGAACATTCAAATGCTGTAAATAACTCAAATGCATAAAGAGTTAGGCCAGTAACGTATGAGTACAAACTATACATCATGCCTTGCTTAAATAAAGGAATGATACAGAAGAAAAAACAATGCAAATGACCAGGTTTTTTTTGTAGTTTATTTGAATTGGAAGGAAATTTGAAGGATTTTTTTCCTAACTATTTTATATATAATAACTGCTACAAAAGACTCTAAGAAGAGGTAACACATTGATTAGCTAGGCAATGTACGCAGCTTAAATTATAGATTTGAATTTAATTAGTTCACATTCTATATTATTTCAAATAAGACTTAGTTATCTAATCTGTACCTTAATTCCCTCATGTTGTGCAGCAAGCAGATAGGGAGAGGGATACAGAGAAAGAAGAACAATACTAACAACTCAGAACTAGCACAAGAAATGGGATAGATTCCTAAGAATTATGCAGTTTATCCTGAGTCACCAAGCAGTTCAAAGTGAAGACACAAGCACCTTAAATAAAAGTATAAGTACATAAACTTACTATCTCAGATCGTCCATCCCGGCATGCATTCTGAAACCTGGCCTGTCTTTCTTCATGTGGTCTATCCCTGAAGCCAGTATATTTAATCTGCAAAGAGCAGGAGCTAAATCAAAAAGTGAATCATGCCTGTTTTACAATACCAACAAAGAGATAAGGGCAAGCCAGCAGAGATCATGGACAGAATGTGAATATGCTACTTCCATGGAAGCCAAGCAAGGACGATGCTCCAAAATATCAATATGTCACTATCCAGTCCCAACTTTTAGTTAACAAAAATTATTTTTTTTACAGAATTCCCAAGTTCTTACTTAACCACTTTTGTATTCAGGTGCTGCAGCAAACTGTAAAAGGCAAAGAAATATTATTGGAGTTGGGAGGAAAGATATCAACATGGTTGTGCAAGAAGCACAGAAATGCATAAAGAGAGGCCTGCCCTTCTAAAGTTACAGAATTTTGTAGTCAGAGGATGGGACTATGGCCATGAAAAACAAAACTCCAGCCATCTTCATAGGAAGAACATAAGGCATAAACATAACTGACAGCAGAATATCATACATAAATGAAGAGAGACACTAAACTTTTTTTTCAATTAATCAGCCTAGTTAACAAAAATATCCTTCACAGTAACCCAACAATAGGTGACAGATTACTGATTCAATGCTTTGTATATGAGATTAGTGCAAATGCACATACACATAAAGGTTAGATTTCCATTATATTTGACTTGAACTGCATGTGGTGTGTAAGGCAAAGAAAATGTACCATGTGTCTACCATTCAATTGGGGACAGCAAGGAAGAAATTGAGAAGGCCTGGCTCCGGTAGCAGAAATTAAGAGTATAAAGGAAACTGAACTTCTGTTTTAATGGTGTTGGTAGGATGTGAGGCAATAAATGCCAGAGATGAGTGGGATGCTATGAATAGAAAATGAAAAAGGGGAAACAGGAGCTGCCATGGGTGCACAAAATCAGGAACACTCTAGAGAAAAATGTGTCCACATGGAAGCTGGGGCATATTCACAACATGACACCTTTAGAAATATTGTAGGGAAGTTCCCACAATATATTTTTGTTGTTATAAATGTTAAAATAGCACCCAGCTCTCTTATGCTTAAAAGTGAAATTCTTACTAATTTTAGCTAATTAAAATTTGATAAATTCTAGCATTTGATATTTATTTACACTGTCATATTTGCATATTTAATACATAGGAACAAAAATTCTAGTTGAAATGTGTGGTGTTAACTAGTGCTGATTACCCCTACTATATACAAGGATCACCTTTAACTGACTTTAATCTGGAATAAATGTTACTTGTCTGGCCCATACATAGATAGGGAATATACCAACACTACAGACAGAATTTCCTGTTATTTAATATCAATATACGCCGAAGTTATATAAAAAAGTGGTTAGGTATGTCAGGACACAACCACTGGACCTCTTTTTATCCTGTTCCAGGAACTACTCTTACCCATTCCTTGGATGATACAAAAGGATATCAAAAGCATAATTTGCTGTGCTAATATCAAAAATAACAATCATAATATGGACAATTAACTCTTAATCCTTGCATTCAACCATAGCTCTCATACACACAAAATCAAGACATTTAAGGTGGATTTTGCACCACTCCTCCATTGTACGTTAAGTTACAGTCATATTCATCTAGACTACCATCCTAGATTCACTAGTACAACCCAATGAAAACAGTAGAGCTCACTTTCAAATTAACATGTGTTGAAGTATACCATTACTGTCTTATCAAATAGTTGTCTCATAAATTATACTCCAAGAGTCATAACCAAGCTGATTGTAGAGCAGATCTCCTTTCAACATCATTAGCCGTGAAGACAAAGGTAACCATTCCTCAACTTCCCGGCAATGTACATTTCCTTTTTAATGGAATGGGGGAGGGGAGAAGTAAATTTTTCTTTCTGTACAGGGCCTTGGAGATCAGTTGTATGCACAAAACAGGAACTGGAAGAAGCTTCACATCCCTAAATTTAGTAAGGATCCCCTTTAATTTTTACTTCTGAGGCTCACGCTATCATGTAACTGCAACTTTAAGAATTTTCCTGCATGGGGGCGGGGAAGGTACTTGGAAATGGGGCTGAAATCTTATACATGATGGGTTTTATTTCAGTTTATAATCTAAACCTTCTCCAACTTCAAAACCTCTTTAGGGCACCTCTTTACCATCATCTACAGGCTGTACAGTAATTGGCTAGACTGACTGTGGATGATGGGAATTGAAGCAGTACACATCTGGAGGGCATCAACACCCTGGAGTACAAATGAGTGTGTGTGTGTGTGTGTGTGTGTGTGTGTGTGAGATAGGCTGTAACTTCTGTGAGCTGATAGGGGCTTTCTTCCTGCCCAGATATAGGATGGCAACCTGTTCATTCAAAAGCACTCAAAGCTTTCTCAGCTAAAGAAAAGTAGGACAAAAGTACTTTTTAAAAATTCAAAATATGTAGATACCTGCGTACAGCCTTCTCCCCTGCAAAATGCAAAGGAAGACCAAATGTTTCCTTTTCTTATTTCATTTCCAGAAGGGTAGCCATATTAGCTCTTTTGCAACAACAAAAAAGCACTCTGGTGGCACTTCACAGACCAACCCCTTCATTATCTGATGGAGTAGCCTGCGATCCACAAAGAACTAAACTGATGACCATACCGGATGGGGACTGCAATTCAGCTCCATCTTTACACTGTGGATGAGGAAACAACTTCAGTTGGACAGCTGCCTGCCAGAGGAGGGGAGGCTTATTTCCAAATAAATGCTTGGGGGAAGAGTGAGGGCTTTCTACTCTCTAACTTATCTCATTAGATGTGGGTGCCTCCAAAGGCATGACCTTCCCCTACCATCCTCTGCATGCGGCTCATCCTCTGAATGTGGTGGGAGTGGAAGCTCTGCAAATCTAGAAGGCACCAGTTTAGGGAAAGACTAAGGAAAGGCAGGTGTGCAGGGGCAGAACTTATTGGCAGCTGTGGATGATGGGATCCAACCTGTCTGGAGGCACTAGCTTGAAGCTGGCTGGGTGACAAGATTGAAAATTAAGACTGGCTTGGGATGACAGGGGAGAAGGGGAGGGGTCCTGATGGGAGGAGAACTGATGTTCAGGACCACAAAGTGAAGATGGGCTGGGAATGATGGGAGCAGAAGCCCAAGGTATCTGGAGAGGGCCAACTTGGGAGAGGGGAAGAGAACCAGGACCTGGTATCCAGAAGACAAAACAAAGACTGGTTGGGGATGACAGGGATCAAAATCTAACTTGTCTGAAAAGCACCAACTGGGGGGAAGATGGCTGCAAAAAGATGAATGGCTGAGGATAATGGAAGAGGAAGTCCAACGACTCTAGAGAGCACCAATCAGGGGAGGGAAACGAGAAGCTGGTGTCCAGGAGCACCACCGGAAATCTGGCTGGACATGATGGGCGCATGAAAACCCAAAAACCTGTGGGAGGGGGAAGAAGGGGGTAGTTGGTGTCCAAAAGAAAAGCTGGCTCGGGAAGATAGGAGTCAAAACCCAGCGAGGGAAGCGGGATCCGGGGCAGAGAGGAAAGGCTGGCTGGGGATGATGGGAATCCAAAGCCGGAGACTGGAGGGAAGCGGGGTCCAGGGCAGAGAGGGAAGGCTGGCTGGGGATGATGGGAATCCAAAGCCGGCGACTGGAGGGAAGCGGGGTCCGGGGGAGAGAGGGAAGGCTGGCTGGGGATGATGGGAATCCAAACCCGGCGACTGGAGGGAAGCGGGGTCCGGGGCCACAGAGGGAAGGCTGGTTG